CGCTCAAAGGGTGAGGGCAAACCACATGGCTGAACTACTGGGGCAAGTCGCAGCTCGTCGAATGCCCGAGAACCAGCTTTCCCGTTGGGCACACCACTGGTTTGACCGCCTCAGTGCTGACACCACTGGGCTTGAAGAAGGCCAAGAGCCCCGCACCCAGTGGACGCACCACTCGCAGCCCATTGTCGTCGGCCTGCGGTGTCGGATGACTTTGTTTCATTCTTTCGGAGGGCCATCTCTTTTTCATGCCTTCCAGTCGTTGGGACACCTACGGCTTTAACGGCTTGAGATGCTCCTACAGGGCTGAGCATTGCCCATTGAGACTGACCAACTGGCCAAGCCGAGCAGATCCAAAGAACGAAGCGAACAAGCCAAGTGCCAAGCCATAGAACTGACATGAACCGACCAACCAATTCAGCAACGAGCTCAGCCAACCCACCACATCAACCCAGCTATCCGGCTCACGCCGTCTCAAACCACATCAAGCCAACATGGAAGCAGCTCCAAGAATTGGTTCAGATTCACGTCACCTGTCATAACCACAAACACAAACGACCACAAAATGAAAAACAGGTTGCTTCCTCCCTGCAGCATGGCCTCCAACCTATAATAGCAATGGCCAACCTAATGGCGATGGCCTCCAACCCCTACCAGTTTCCGCCTTAAAGTCCTTCATCTTCACTTGGACCTGCTCCACCCGCGATGGCCGCCAGTGGTGCAGCAGCCACTGGCCCAAGCGCGCGCGGCTCGAGGGATCGGGCAAAGCGGCGGCCACCGTGCCCCAAATGATGCCGTTGGGTGCATGGGAATCCTGCACAGCTTGGGGAGGCAAAGCTGGAGAAGGAATTGTGATTTCTTTTGTTTGGTCACTGATCGTCCCCGGACTGTGGGTGATCACCTGGCTGGACCTGTTTCCAGCTTCCAAACCCTCCATCTGTCTCCAACCAGCCACGACTTCCCATCCTTTTCACGCGATTTGTCTTTGAATTCACCCATGCGTTCCTCCATTTGGAGCGTCAGCTGCAAGGCTTGCTGCCAGCGAGAACTCGTGGTGCAAGCGCTGATGGCACTGTTCAAGGGAACCTCGTCCATCTCGATGGCCAGGTCGCCTCAGATCGCCGAAGTGAAGTGAATTCGCCGAACGTCGGCCTCGAGACGCCGCACAGTACTAGCCTCCTTTAGAATGGCACTGAGTAAGCAAAACCTTTAAGCAAAACCTTTTGTAGTGTATATTGCCAGTATATAAGACTCATCACCCCATTTTTGGAACAGCTCAGGTGCACATCTCCTCGAGCATCTGCATGGCCATGTCCCAACGCGAGGCTTTCTCGCAGGAGCTGATTAAGGCCTTACTCGATGGTAGATTCAAGGACTCAAAGGCTTCAGAGATCTTCAGAGTAAATGACACAACAATGAGCATTGTAAACCTCAAAAGGTGGATTCTTCATAAATCCCATATCTGTGTTCTTTTCTTTTCAGGTCTCCATTTCTCATCCTTTTCTGTTCCATGTTGCCCCATCTTCTACGATGCACACGCCGGGCGTCGCTGTAGCACACCTGCTCCACACGGTCGCCCATCTTCCTCGCGACTCGAGCGATCGGTCGACGCCGCGCACGGGACGAACCCACCGAAGGCATCGGTCGAGGTTGTCGAATTGTGCGTCTTTTTGCATTGTTATCCTGTCATATTGGCTATATAGGCTAGAGGATGTCAATATCAGTTGCAAACTGTTGCTGTTACAGCGAACGGAATCAACCCAGCTGCTACCATTTCAAGGGCCACACAGCCCTGAAAGGCATAGCACCCGATAGCACCCTGTCCTATGGTCCTATTGTTGGGGAGCAAGCAAAGGGAGGCCCCCGGCATGCACATCTATCCCGAAATGAAAGCGAGCTCCTGTACAAAACTTGAGGCATTTTCACCTAACCATCAGGACACGTGAAGGCTTTTCCAAAGCTGACCTGTCCTGAAAATGGCCAAAGCTCTTTGCCACTGCTTCGCGTTGCCGCAGGCGGTCAGGACACTTCCTGAGAACAACAAAGCCCGATGGGGTTGTTCAAGCCCGTGCGAGCCCGACCAGGATGGAAGCGGCCGACCGTGTGCCGAAACAGAATCTATCTGCAGGAACGGACGTAAGGACGACTGACAGGTCGAAAAGCATCACCAGGTTTCTGGTGAGACGTGTTGAAGGGAATGGTACCTGACAGACAGGTCTATTTTCTGCATATTTCTGCATATTCTAGGACGGCTACAGCCTTCCAAAGGTGATCAAAGGGGTATATCTCTGAAGGCCAAGCTGCCAACCCCACACCTTATAAACTCTGAGATAAGCTCTGCAAATGCTGACGGGATGCTTATTGAACATAAGCCCCACCCACCCCGCACTTCTTTTGGCTGTGTACCGCTGACTATGAGGAAAGAAAACACCTAGCTTGGCTTGGCCCTCTTTTCGGCTGTCTGCTTTAGCATCGGCCAATCGTAACCTGTCATCCAAATGAAATCTACTTACATCTTCTAATTCTTATCCGGAAGCCGCTTTTGTCACACAAGTATCTTCCTGTATATAAACAAACTTCCCTCTTCATCAAGCAGTGTGTGTCTTTATCGTCCAAACGTTATCTTACTTGGATCGGTATTGCAAGTCTTCCTAAACTCTTCGTTGACGTGCGGCCGCGGAATATTGCCATTTCCGCAACCACAACCATGAAAAGCTGTGTGACTTATTCTACCGCGGTTAGTTCATGGTCTTACGTATATAATAATTATTAGATCCAAACTCTCGGAAAGGTCTTCTGACGGTTTTCTCCTTCAGGCCCAGTCTTTGTAAGGATGCCCTTCCTTCATTTATAGACTCTTTGCTTTGCCCAAGTTCAACCTTTTATTCAAGGTCATCCGTCAAAGCACCGGACCGTCACATGTATAAGCACATGCAATAAAGACTATGATGACAATCTATGATTTCAAACAATCATGCCTCATCCAGAAGCCTCCTCTATCATCTATCAGTATCATGCAATGCTCTCCTTCTGTGCGCAGCTCTCCTCCTTTCTACAAGTCTGCTAGTGTAGTTGTGAATTGGCCTTGTTCCGCATCAAAGGTTCCTCTTGTCAGGGTCACAGCTTTAAGGTTCCTAGTTTAAGAAATCTACACATTGGTAAATAAAGCAGGATTCATCAATCTTAATGCATAATGAGATATAAAATGATATATTTAAAAACAGTTCTCCTTTCGAGCAAGTCTCTGTATGAATTTCTGTTCTAGATCCTGAACCTATGTGCACTTACGTTTACAGAGAGGGGGAGAGAGAGAAAGAGTGCAAGTTCGAGCGAAACATAAATTTGAATCCAGATTGCTAAGCTGAGCCCTGAAACATCTTGGAGATATGTTCTTAAATGTTCTTAAGAAATGTTTATATACCGCAGGTTGCTTCTCAACATTTTTCAGAAGAGCCATGTCTATAGATAGAAAAAAATTAGGGAAAACATTAAAACACACCGACTCAGAAGAGAGAGAGAGAGAGAGATGTGCCCAGTGCCCCTGGAAACAAGAATAGAAAAAGCTTGTGAACAAAAAGCTCAAGAAACACCGGAAGAACTAAATCAGAAATGGTCCCTTTAATCACGCCTATGACACTAAATGTACGAAAATCAGAAACACATGCCCCATCACGGTCAGCGCTTGGAAAGAAACAAGGTCATCTGCCAACATTCTGTCTGGTCTCTTGACCACCTCGGTGCCTGTCTTAAGAACACAGCTCAAGCGTCCATAGGTCAAACTGCTGGTGGGGAGATCCTTCACCAGCATCTCATCCAACAGTGTCAAGACCATTTCCCAACGCCCGCCAAATGAACAGGCGCTGATCGCAGTACTGTAGCCTGCGAATGCGCTCGCTCGTGCAAGTAATCTACCCAAACCATCCAGAGGACTGGAATAGTTGCACGTGTACCCATTTATGACCCTACGGAAAGCAACTACTGTATATATAGTCCAGTCCCATTTGGCTCAGCCCGGTCAAGACTTCTTGGCACCATGTACCCGCAGAATCTCTCACAGATTGGCGCCAGATTCGGCTACCCAAGTATATAATAAGTAGCTCGATTCACCAGCTTGCCACACTTTAGCGGGCAACATTATTCATTCTATAGCTGCAGGTCACAAAAACATCGAGAAACTGTTTGAGTTTCCTCCAAATAGGCTTCGCCTTCCGGGGTGTTGGGCATCTTCTTCCCCAATGGGGTCGAAAACACATCTAATTAGCATCATCCTCCAAGTGGCTGACATCATCTGGTGTCAACTGTTCCAGCTTCATCGTTTGGAGGAGCTCCAGCGCCTGGTCCGCTTGAGAACCTCCAGCTGCGGCTCCACCGAGGACGAGTTCGTCCGTGGACGAACGCCCGTCGGCTGGGAAGAAGGGCCGTCGGCTGCACAAACGACGGGCGGTGCTGCAGGTCTCAGCGGTGATTTTTTTGGAGCAGCACCATTTGATGGACGAATTTACGTTGGCAAGCCCTTCCAAATCCTCCAGTCGAAACTTTTCACAAATGTCACATCGTCTTAGTATGTTCCTCTAGGGGATGGGTGCCATACTTAAATTCAATCAGTGTGCCATACCAAGATGGTGTTGACCCTGTGGAGGCCTTTCTGCAGGAATCTGAACTGGACCAACTGCATCCACTTACTACAAGGATTCGTGAACCAACATTCTGCAGGGCAGCCACTTCTGCAAGATCTTAAGTTTATTGCATCATTTGCCTTATAGCCTCTCGTGGTTGTTCGCGACATGCTTTGGCTGCCCCTGCAACAAAGACTTTCGATCACCTGGGTCATCATTCAGGATATGCCGCCTACTTTGCTACACTGTGCTATAGTAGGTAGCGAACTCAGGCGCGTCAAACGCCCTACGGTTTCTCTGAAAGCCCTGGCCCAATCCGCACACACTGCTGTGCCTTTTCCGCACGCACTCATGGCGACGTTGTAGGTGACTTCTGATGCTGGCACCTCGCAGCTCGGAGTCGAACAGCGCTTCGCAAGCCAGGCAGGTTCAACTCTATGTCCAAAAACAACATCCAAGAGTGCCCAAGACTCTGTCTCCTGATTCCTTTTGCCTTTGCTCTTGAGTTCACCTCCTGCAAACCATAGTCTCGAGGACTCTTGCCAATGAAGAGATTCGTCGTGCGAACCCACTCAGGTTTTTCAGTCTCCGAACCTTATATAGCTTCCGGGAGGGGTTATATATTCGGTTATTCATCCCAACATATCCAGCTCTGGTCTAGCCTAGGGCATAGCACTTGAATTGCATTCCGTAGCTCATCGCTACCATCGTGCCTTTCGAACGGGTCGACCGAGGCACCAGGTGCCGCTGGGTGTCTTCGAGCAGCTGCAGAGCCAAGTCCCACTTGCCGCGCTTCTCACAGGCGCTCAAAACACTGGTGACGTGGAAGTGATTCATGCTGACCTGCGGAATCCGCGACGGACCGTTCCTTCGTTCCGATCCGTTCCTGTCGTGGTTCATGCTGTCGTGCGACATGATTCATGCTACCAGCTAACCACCTGAACCACGAGTTGGTCGGAATTCGGTGGGTTTTTCGTGGCCAGGAGGGATCTAGGCCCTCGGTGGGCATGGATGGTGTTGGACATGACTCTTTTGGAATGGACATGCACAAATCATCTAGAAAGCCCCAAAACAAGAAAACACACCTCTCAGTCACCGACTGATTCAATAGCAATGGGTGAGTGCTGCCACGCTGCCCGCCTCGTACTCCAGGAGGAAGCGCATCACTTTCACAGAGACCTCGGTTGCCCACATCACTGTGCTCTACCCGGAGCACACAAGCCCGTCATTGTCAAAGCATGATGCCTTTTGTCCCCAAATGTGCAAGCTACAGAGCATCCCTTTGGCACAGTTTCATGCTTGAATGATATCCATCTGCCTAACCCGATCTAACCCGCACATCCTGTAAAAAGATGCCACACTTCGTCCCAGCTACATCCCATAACGCGCGCTTGGCCAAGCCGGTTAAAACGGTGGTGACCGCTCTAGGGTTGCCGCGCCAAAACCTCAAGCACGGCTTGCAAGCATCAAAGACCAGCCCTTGCGACGGGTGAGGCCCCAGCCTGGGACGGTGGACGTGACGAACGAGGCAGCCTGGGACCATGCAAGTGCTAAACTGGTTTAGAAGCAATGCCTTGAATGTTTGAACTGCAGAGTCCCAGGTCACTAGCAAGCATCACCAGAATGTACTGAACCAACATGTAGACGGTTTCCAGGCAGTGTGCATGCCTTTGAGTGGCGATGGAGGGGTTGGGCAATCAGTTGAGGACATTGAAGAGTGTCTTGATCCAATCAGTCGCACCACGCCCAATACTCCAGGGGTCTTCGCTACTCTGGTTCACCAAGGCTGGGTAGCTATAGCTTTCCCTTTTCCAATTCCAATAGGAAGCATCCAAGGGTGCAGATGTGAGTCGTTAGACCTCTGTGCCCCTTGATGAAGTCATTTGAAAAGACCACATGTCAAAGCACAAAATATCACAAAATGGTGTTCAGGGTCAAGGTTACCTTTCAGAACATGCGGCCTCACCTCGAATCTGATGCAACTCGATGATTAATTGGTAGTTCGCTTCTTCTCCCACCGCACGGCCTCTTCACCCACTCACACCACTTACAGCATGAGGTCCTTTAGATGGGGGTCCACATAAACCACCTCTTGGGGTCTGTGCCATTGGTCCTCTCAATCCACGTCTAAGGTTTCCACAATCTGTCCACCCAAGGCACGAGACGAGCGTCTGCAAAATCTCCGGCGGGCGACCCCGCCCGAACCGTCGGGCCGCCGCGGAGGGCGCGGAAGGCATGGAGATGGAGTCGTCCCACACGAGATTCCGATCGAGCCGCTCGTAGCCAGGGCGACATCATGTGTAGCCAAGAGTGTTGCAGGGTCCAATGAGGAGACCAAAAGCAACCGAAGTACCCCGTATACCGTAACCGCTGAGACAGCCGCCCGCTGAGACAGAAACGCTGTTCAGGGTTCTTGCAACGAGAAGGCTAACACTAAGGAAAAGCAACTGGAAAGCAACTAGATGTGATTGCTGCAGCGGTAACTCTGGTGTGGATAGTCCCATCTGCGGCTGTCCCCTGACGTAAAGGACATGTCCGTCAAGTTGAAAAGGACATGTCCGTCAAGGGAAACTTTAATCACATGAGGTTACAATGTTACAATGAGGTTACAACAGTCGCCGTGTATGCATTTTGAGAGATCTTTAGTTATATATATATAAATAATAATAAGTGGTTTTATGATGTGGTTTTCACTGATTTGCTTCAAGTCGCACAGTCCACGCATGCTGTGCCAACATGATCCAAAACTCTTCTGCCTAGGACTGGCTAGGATGTAAATGCCACTTCATGCCCTGGGTGGGGTTGGAGAAAGCAAAATTTCACACCCGTACCTCTAACGAGCAATCAGGCTTCGGCTGAATCTAAACAGAACGCAAACACAAAACAAGATTTGATCCTCAAGTTCTACAGAACCACTGAAAAAGCAGTTGAGTTCTGTGTCCGTACCAGCCACTGTATTTCAGTTCCACCGCCGGACCGATGTCCTTGCGTTCGTCTGGGCTATCCCACCATGTCCAACAGGCTGTCGAGCTGCTCCACAAAAGTGCGGCTCTCCAGCCACACATCCACCAGGAGCCTAGGACGATCTGACGTGTGATTTCAGGAGCCTAGGGTGACCTCCAGCATCCTCCAGCTGCGGACGGAAGTTTGACTCCATGCCTGGATGGAAGTTTGATGAAGTTTGTGAGAACCAAAAAATTCTCGAGGGATGTGCCTTCAATTTAAGGCCTCCACTAGAAAGCAAAGTGGAAAATGGGGGAAACCCGACAAACCATATCTGCCATCTCATATCTTAATTACATGCCCAATAGGCCCCACAGTCCAAAGGATTAAAGGATTCTGATTGAGTTAGATTTGCAAAACATATCACGATTGCATCCCAATAGTGCCCCGCCGAATGGGTCTTGATGAAGCTGGTCCGAGCGTTGTGATAAGGTTCTTCAGTCACATGACTGTTTTAAGTTTCCATGCGCATATATTACAAATAGTCATCCTGGATCCAGTAGATCTAAAGCGGTGGTGAAAGTGGACCTTCCAATGTTTGCGACACTGTAGTCCAACATGGTAATTATACATGTTCATGCTGCATTGTGTATTTGGATTCTTGTGTTTGTCTCTGAGTCCTTGCGTCTCTGCCAGGTATATCGGTCACTCTTCCGGCTTATCGACCTGTTCAGCATTTTGTGCACCGAACCCCGGCCACACCGTGATTCCCGAACCTCCCGATTCCTGAACATCTTGGCGCCCCGAGCGTCTCAGTGCCACTGGGCACCAGCCTTGGCACGCCAACATCTCCAATGTGGACACAACCCCCCCAGAAGTTCCGTTGGATAAACGCGACATATCATATCATATCATCAGATTCTGCTATTTTCATGGCACCAGGCTCACAAACACTAAGTGGGCTCTACGCAAGAATGTGCAACATCTTTGTGTTGTTGATGATGGAAGGGAGTTGGCCAACCCACGAACAATGAAAAACCGTCTGTCCTACCAAGCTGGGAACATGATTTCGTCTGTGCGAGGCGACTTTGGCAAACGCCTAAGTCAACCAGAAAGAAGCCGGCCATGCCAGCCATTTCAACTTCTAAAGCCCTCATAATCCCTCATACAGCAACACACTCAATGTCTATTTCGGACATCCCAGCTGGTCCTAGAACTTGTTCGATCAAGCTCAACAAAAAACAAGAGAAACACCTTGCTTCCAACTGCCTTTTCTCTCACCTTTCAACCGCCTTCGCCCAGTCGCCGGTCGACCACGTCCCTAAGCTCCGGGCACTTCCAAGTCCTGACGCCGGCGCGTCCGGCCGTACTCCGGACCAAAGCCGTCTGCTTCGCGAAGACCGGCGCGGGGAGCCCGGGTGGCACAGGCATGCACAGGCACGTCCGCCTTGGAACTTTAAAGCAAGTCTGGCGAGCAAGCCCCTCCAAGTCCCAATCCCGCCAATGGTTCTGAGAGGCGCTGGGCCGGCAAGGAGCGCAGCAATGTTGCACAGCTGTGCACGTCGTCGCTGAAATTCATGTGGAATCAATTTGGCAATCTTCTGTTTCAGTATGGCACACGCACGGCAACTCGCGATAAATTGTGCAGCAAGAAGAGCAGCGGTCATGTTTCATATGACTTTCCGTCCGTTGTAATTCTTCTCTGGGAATGCCCTCGTTCCCCGACAGGTTTAGTTCAAGGCTTCGGTGAACCAGGTATAAGATCCCCCCTTAGCATCCCTTAGCAGGACCTCAAAAAATGTAACCGTATGACTATGTCCCCTTACATATGCCTGAAACATGTAACTTACATTTGTTAGGCATTGACTGAAACATGTAACTATTGCACGTTACATGTTTCCAGGCCAACATGTAACAATCTATGGGAACATGTAAGTTACATTTTTGGGGTCCAGGATGGTCCGGGGTAATACTACGCAAGACTTAGTGAGATTTGGCTCTTGTCTTGGTGTGTGCGTTTGGTTGGCTCGTTCTGTTTTGGGGTTGTGTGAGGGTGTTTTGCAATGGTACTCTGGGCCATGGTGGCACATGTATGGACCTGACTCCCAGAACAAAATGTAACTTGGGTGTGTGCAGGGCTTTCAGGTGTGCATTTTCACCTGGTATGTGATGTGTGAAGTTGGCCTTGGTGATCTGCATCTGTTGATGGAAGAACTCCTGCAGCCCTCGAAGCAACGATTTGGATCTCTCCGTAGAAGTATGTCGATCTACCCATCTAGGTGGGTCACAACAACTGCTTTTGATTCGTCCAACGGTAATCATCTAGAATCTAGAAATGCTGGATCCTCATGACCTTCGGGGATGGGGGGTGGCCTATAAAATGTAACTGTCACGCAAACACCAAGTTACACTTTCCAGACCCCCTCCCTCCCCCTCAAAAAAAAGAGGGAAGGGGGTGAGAAAATGTAAGTGAATCGCTGGCAGGCATCATGTTACATGTTCAGACCTCCTCCCCCCTTCATGTACCTCAATTTTGGGCCTGGGGGGGTAAGTTACATGTGTGAGGCTCCTTTAAGACTTTGAAGCACAAGCCCATATCATGAACATTGAACATCCCAAGGTCGGAGGCGTCATTGCCGCACCGCAAATCATCTTCATTGCATTTCAACACCAGAAATCTGTGACACCCTGTGTAGCAGTGTAGCAGGAGAGCCGTTGGCTAACTCGTGTCATCTTGTATTTTGCTTCAGAAATCCTTGGTTCATGCTGTTGGCTCGTGTCTCTATACTGTTTGACCGTCTCTGCCCTTTCAACTCAACAAAATCAATCCTGTAACTGCAAACATGCCATCCAGTCTGTCCCCGTTGTCCAGCTATGTGTTGTATGATGTTGTTAAGAAACCGCTGAGTCGCCTTCTCCGCGGCAAAGCAGTTCCTTCCCAAAGTGTTGGTTGACATCATGCCTGGTTCTTCAGCGGCTTCATGATGCCTTCCCTATTGCACCGAAACCCTCCCCGCAGTTCCTGTCATTCCAGCACCACAGGGCCGCAACAAAGTGGGATGATTCTCGAACTGCTCATCAACAGAGGGTACTTCTGTGTAAGGATTCGTTCCGGGAATCCAAGCAAGTCCACCTACCAGCCAAGTCTTCTTCCCCAGGAGATCCGGAGACTCTGACCCTCTGACCCTCGGTGACTGATGTTGGGACCGTCATGGCTGTCCATCCCAAAAGAGTGAACGATACACTGAGATCTTGTACTAACCAGAGATTGGAATTGTTGAAATAGTTAATGTTGAAACGGAATCGTTATGTTTGCATCACCTAGTTACTGTTGGACGAGGTGATGTCTTAGACGGCAGGTATTGGGTGGTTCTGCAGTGCCCGGGTCAGAAACACCAAACAAATGTGTAGAACATGCAAAAATGTCAGGGTGTCCATCACATCTGGGCAACATTCATGCTCCCCGCCCCAAGTCGGGTTATATCCATATGTGGCACACACGCACACACCAAACAAATACAAAAACCTATTCTGACACATAACGCTCAACAATGCCAAAACTATCCAAAAAAACTATCCAAAAACTATGACTTATTTATTTCTGCAGAATGTAAAAACAAACACCAAACTAGTAAACGTGGCCAGGCCAGGCTTAGAAGGCTTGGAACATCATACCTTGCATGGCTTCACCAGCCGGGGCCGGAAGTCTCCACCATCACCACCCTGGGCAGATCCTCATCCAGGAGAACTCGCACTCGCACCCCTTCTGCTAGTAGATGCGCTAAAGTGAGTAATTCTTCCAAAGGTGGCGCAAGCTTACCCCGGACCCAGCCTGACACCAGGGGCTGGACTCGGTGGCGAGGGTGTTATTTCAGACGCCCGAACACCAGCGATATGGATCGCTCACACGGGCAGCCAACAAAGGATCGGTCACAGCCAGAAGGGCTCCAGTACCTCTTTCAGATTTCAAGTTGAGATGCCCAAGGGAGAACGGCACACGTTTCATGTGATGGAACTCTTTTTCGGTGCCGTTTCCAAGGGCATGGACCTGTCTTCATGTGGAAGTTGGGTGGCGCAGTTGCTGGAGTGGGGGCAACTCCCACTCCACCAGAACCTCCATGCCCATCCCACTCCACCCGCCTCGTCGAAGTCGCACGTGAGGCGCGCCGAGTAACGGCCATCGCTGGCCACGGCTTTGCTGTACTTCATTTCCTGGACGGATCTGCACCCAGCCAATCCGTCGAACAACGGACCATCTGGATGACTGGGGGCTTTTCTTCGGCCCCATCGACGAACTCTGGTGATGGGGGGCTGACCCTCAAGCTGTTGGAATAT